GGATTCAACATATTAACAGTGTTTTCTCTGGGTTAATATGTTGAATCCAGTGCTTGAACATATAGTTTTCTCTGGATATTTCTTGGGAATTCAAGTGCTGATGCTATATTCTCCCTGGCTTCCACCCAGAAAGTATAGAAACTAATAATTTTTCATAAATACTTGTGGTAATGTTAGTTCCTTAAAAAATTATAATGCTAGAATTTAAGGCTAAATCCCCACTGCATATACCTGATAAATAAAAAAAACAAATAAATAATATTAATTTTATTAAAACTTAAACAAATTTCTTTGTTTACAAACTTACAGTAATGTTGATAACACTAAGTCGGGTTACGGCACCTAACACATCACTAACTTCAACTCGTATTTCAATCGAACCATAGGGCAGTACAAGAGGTACCAGCGTATTTTTACCAAAGGAGACCAAAGATCCGTATTTTCCATCCTTGTACACTTGAAAAAGAAATAAAAAAATAATTCAGCTTTGATAAATTTGAACATGAACATCCTATACTTCATTGAGGTGAGACTTTAGTACGGATTGAACTCAATCTTTGTTTTCACTAAAACTTTACCCTAACAAAAATAATAACATTGCTTTTCATTATGTCTCATGTCTCAATACAATAATTAATAAACCGCAAATGAAATCCATACAAGTATTTCATTGGCTAAAATATTAACATATAAGTATTTCATTGGCTAAACAATTAACATACAAGTATTTCATTGGCTAAAAAATTAACATATAAGTATTTCATTGGCTAAACAATTAACATATAAGTATTTCATTGGCTAAAAAATTAACATATAAGTATTTCATTGGCTAAACAATTAACATATAATATTCAGTTTAAAACAAAGTGGAATGGTTCATCTTAATTACTAACTAAGATTTTAACAAGACAATATTTAATGTTACTAAGTAACAATTGAACAAGACAGTATCTAATGTCTTCATGTCTGTTACTTATCAACTATCTAACTTTAGACAAAGACAACACCTAATGCTTTCGCTTCTGTGATGTATTTACTAATTAATGTTTTATGTATACAAAGATTACTAATTTCACTTCTTTGATTTTGTACTTCACCACTAGTCAGCTATTTGTTAAATTCCAGCTCTAACTTTGACATTTTCTTACAGTATACTGCGTAGTCACTTATTTCTTCTCCCTCTGGGTCGATCCAGTTGGTACAGTTCAGAGTGAAGTCATCCACAAGAGCCCTTCCCTCTTCCGGTACCAACACACAGTCACCGGTGATTGGGGGTTTGTTTCTTATTAACGTAATGGAAGTACTTCCAGCTGGATTTCCAGGAACATATACTTTTACACTGAACCTAAACACTTGTACTGTGGGAAAAGCCTCATACAGTGTCTGATTAATAGCAAAACGTTTATGATCACCTGAAAAATAGAAATTATTACAAAATTTACACTTGCACCATAAACTTGGTAACCTGGTAATTTTACCAGAGCCTAATTGTTAATTTCATGTCATTCAAATCCACATTAACTTAGGATATTTGTCTCATTTTAAAAATCTAGTATATATATATAAAACAAATATTTACATTCAAACCAACAGAAACTAAACCCAATGGGGTCCATAATTTTGTTGGTTCCAGGGTCTTTAATGACATATGAGTCACACAATAAATGTTTAAATAAAAATCCTGCCATTAAGTGGATTGGACACATTATTCTTTTTATCATATAATCTAAAAGAAATTGTTGAACAAAAGTTATGTTATGTGTTATCTGCACTAGTCGTCCCTAATTTAGCAGTGTAAGACTAGAGGGAAGGCAGCTAGTCATCACCACCCACCGCCAACTCTTGGGCTACTCTTTTAACAACAAATAGGGGGATTGACCATCACATTATTATGCCCCCACAGCTGAAAGGGCGAGCATGTTTGGTGTGACGGGGATTCGAACCCGCGGCCCCCAGATTGCGAGTCGAGCACCCTAACCACCTGGCCGTTGAACAAAAGAAACCATTACAACAGGTTTTGGTACTTTCATCCACTTGATGACAACAAAACCTGTCCCACTAATAACTATCACAATTTCTTCTACACTAACAAAGAAAAATGAGTGATTTCAAACATTCTTTTCTCAGTGTTCTAAGAAGCAAAACAGGTTACAGTATATACATCTTTCCAAAAAAAGCTGGTAGTAAAACTGATGGCAATACATCCAGTACTGTAGCATTAACAGGATACTGTGTAAATAAATCATCACTTTAAAAGTGAAGAACAGACTTACTGATAGTGTGGTTCTTCGTTTCTGAAGTGATGTCAATCAGTGAATTGTTAACCAAATCTTCGGTAAATGCCAACCACTCATATCTTACATCATCTGGATTATTACCACAATCTTCATAGCAATCCGCATGCAGAACAATCCATGTACTTGGATTGAACAACATACCCTTTGAGTATGGGAAACACATATCTTTTTGCTCACACCTAAAGAGATAAAATAAGATAAAAACGGCTTAATTATTCAAACACAATGGTGTTATGAAAAATAATGTAGATTATAAAGTGACCCTGCTGGACGTCTCTATATTATTGGTTACTCAACAAAGACAATGTGACTTATTCTACTAATACACTGTTACTCAACAAAGACAATGTGAGACAATGTGACTTATTCTACTAATACACTGTTACTCAACAAAGACAATGTGACCTATTATAGACTTTCCATTCTACAAACTAATACACTGTTATTAACAAAGACAATGTGACATAGAAATAAAATAAGGAACTCAAATTTATTAGTTTTATGCACATAGAAGTTAATAAACTGCAAATTAAACCCATACAAGTATTTCATTGGCTAAATAATTAACATATAAGTATTTCATTAGCTAAACAATTAACATATAAGTATTTCGTTGGCTAAACAATTAACATATAAGTATTTCATTGGCTAAAAATTAACATATCATTTCTATCATTTCAAGCATGACAGAAGGTTAAGAATACATGGGCAAACATTAGAAGCATGACATCAGGATATTAGCTAGGAAACTCATAAAATGGTCGTTAGGGTTACTGTAGTACTCATAACAATAAGGTCAATATAATGTTATTATGGTAACATCACAACTAACTAAATTAAACTTCACATAATTATAAAAAAAAACTGAATTATTTATCCTTCAAGTAATTATAAAATAATTAATTTAAACTTAAATTAAAGATTATAACTACCTTAATCAAGAAGCTGAGCGTACAATTTCAAAATAAAATTAAAAATCTACACAAGTGTTGAATACCTTAATGAAACCATCGGGGGTAGGCCTTCAATTACTTCTACCTGAATTGAAACATTGGAGTACTTGGACGGAGTTTCGATGAGCACAAGGAACTCGTACGTGATATTAGAACCCCACAACATAGAAGTGTTGAGAGCAATATCTCCTCCACCCAAATTAACTTTCCCTGTCAAATTATAACACACGTTATACTTCCAAATAATCGGTTTCTACATTGAGCGTTATCAAGAAATAAAATATTGTCTTAGAAGATAATCACAATTTTTTCTTTAAAGAGGACTTTTTTCATCTTTATGTTACAATTCATACAAACTGCATTAGCATGTTTCTATTTCTTTTCCCCTTTTTATAAGCATTGCAAATCACTCTGACTAAAGAGTTTACAGTAACAAGTTTCATGATCAAAATCTGGCATAATGGTAGAAACCTCATAATGAAATTAACAAAATCAATCTCTGTTGAAATCCTAGTTTTCATTGTTACTTTATTAATCAGTTTATTGTCCCTTATTTTTGCCAATTAATCACAGTTAAATTTGTAAGTTTTAACCAAACATCTACCAAAGTATGATGTTAACAACAGTTTGTCAAATTTGTAGGTTTTAACTGAACATCTACCAAAGTATGATGTTAACAACAGTTTGTCAAATTTGTAGGTTTTAACTAAACATCTACCAAAGTTTGATGTTAACAACAGTTTGTCAAATTTGTAGGTTTTAACCAAACATCTACCAAAGTATGATGTTAACAACAGTTTGTCAAATTTGTAGGTTTTAACCAAACATCTACCAAAGTATGATGTTAACAACAGTTTGTCAAATTTGTAGGTTTTAACCAAACATCTACCAAAGTATGATGTTAACAACAGTTTGTCAAATTTGTAGGTTTTAACTAAACATCTACTTACTGGAGGAAGTCTCTTCCAATTGACCTTGTACTTACTCAATATCTTTATATATTAACACTTTTTATTAAATGTTTACCTAAATTCTTTAAAAAAATAAACTACTGACATTATTAGTTAGATTATAATGTACATTTGTATCTTAAGTTTTTCATGATGCCATTGTTATTAAAAGCAGAAAATAAATTTTACCTTTTAAATTCAGAAATATACAAGATGAAAACTTAAAAGAATTATAAAGATGGCTAAAAGAGAAACACAGAGAGAAAAAAAAGTTAAGAAAGAAATTGGAAAACATTCTACCCACTTTACATGGCGCTGATAGAACCAGAATTAAATAGCTTTGAAACGATAATTTTAGAAATATATGGTCAGTAAACACAGAACGTAACAGACATTCGATGGAATTAAATATAATACTGGATGTTTTGTTCGAGTTAAGAACTGCACCTGGTCCTTTTCCAAAACATCCTCCTTGATCATCTGCAGCAGTCAGAGAAGAATGGTCTAAGATGGGGTCTGACGACATGGATTCGTCTAGGTTTCCACTGACATCCTTAGGAAAACTCTCCCCCAGCCTTCGACAGAACCATGTGATGCTGTAGTTCTACAAAATATCACACGTACCCCTGTAAAACCCCACTTGTATCTCTGGGATATCAAAGTTTATTACTGTGTATTTATGTTGAGCATATAATCTGTATGATATTTTTTTAATATTTTCAAAGTAGTTAATAATGCTGTCAGTACAATAGTTCAGTAAATTAACAAAGATGTCAGAATTAGTCATGATATAAACATACAGTGAGAAATATCCCTGAATAAAAAACATACTGCCAGAAATAACAGTGAAGTGTTGATAGTGTCAAAAATAACCTTGATTATAACGTACAACAGGAAATAATCTTGAAAAATAGATAATGGTAGAATAAATCTTGAAATATAAGTATTGACAGAATAAATATTAAAATATGCAGTACACATGGCCATAACTTATTAATCCATGTTTTGCTAGAATTAACATTGAAGCATACATTGGCAGAATTAACCCTGAAATACACATGCTGGTAGAATTAGCCTTGAAATACATACATTGGCAGTAATAAGCTTGAAATACATGTTGACAGAAATAGGCTTCAAATGTACATGTTGACAAAATTAACCTTGAAATATACATGTTGGCAGAAATAACCTTGAAATATACATGTTGGCAGAAATAACCTTAAAATACACATGTTGGTAGAATTACCCTTGAAATACGTACATCAGCAGTAATAAGCTTGAAATATACATGTTGGCAGAAAGGCAGAAATAACCTTGAAATATACATGTTGGCTGAATTAACCCTGAAATACACACATTGGTACAATTAGCCTTGAAATAGACATGTTCGCAGAAATAACTTTGAAATGAACTAAAAGCACTAGTAGAACTAACCCTATCACAGTCATTTATATCCAAGAAAACATAATCAACACCATTAATAGTATCTGAATAAAAAGTAAGGCTTACCTTCACCACATTTTCGTTGACATCAGGGTCAATGGTGAGCACACCTGGTTGAAGTGTTACAATCTGTCCAAGTCCACGAACCATCTCCGAGGCTGACCCTTGAACCATTATTGGCATCAATGGAGTTGCAATGATTTTTACATAGGTATAGGCCATGCTTTCAACTGGATAAGGCGTATAGCCTAACTCCTCTCCTGGAACCCAAGTACACAACAGTTTGAAGTGAAAAAAGTTTGTTAAACACTAAAAAACCTTCTTACTAATGCACAAAGGATTTTGCTCACAGTTCACCTTTCTCCGGACCTTTAAACAAAAAATATATAACTACCACGGTTAAAATTCCAACAAATAACTAAAACTGGGAATAAATAATAAGACAGATCTGTTTCAAAAACAAAAAAACCTGTTTATTTTATTCAGTACAGCTACGCAGTTAAAACTGAAATAACACAAGAGTATATTTAGTAAACTGCTGGTACCAAACAAACTGGATTGGTCCCAAGGTTTGAAAACTCCTCCATTTCAACTGTTGGACTCACCAACTTCTCTCACCAAATATTCTCATCCCCCCAGATTTGCACAAAGGTAAACTTTTCACCCAACCCTTCAGAGAACCCAGATATTTTGTGAAAATTCTTTTACAAGGATTTCCTGAAAGTGAACCCCAAATTTGACATTGATTTACATGAGAACATTTAAAGAAGTAAGCTTACTAATTACCATTCATAGCTTGATTAAAGATATTAAATTTTCATTATAGCAGCAATGGTCATTAAACTAGCACAGAATAGTAAAGTAGTACAGAAAAAGTACAGAATAGTAGTTCAAGCATTAAATTTGCATTACAATGGCCCTGTAAATGTGGGCC